TGTAACCCTAGCCCTCTAGGCGGCCAAAGCAGGAGGATGGCTTGAGCTCAGGAGCTGGAGACCAGCCTGAGCAAGAGCGAGACCTCGTCTCTACTAAAAGTAGAAAAAATTAGTCAGGTGTGGTGATGCCAGCCTGTAGTGCCCACTAGTCGGGAGGCTGTGGCAGGAGGATCACCTGAGCCCAGGAATTGGAGGTTGCAGTGAGCTGTGATGATGCCACTGCACTCTAGCCAGGGCGACAGAACGAGAGATTGTCTCAAGAAAAAAAAAAAAAAAGTACTGTTTGCCAATCATGCTTGTTTGTCTAAGTATAAGGCCACAAATAATTTTCCAAAATAACTAAAGGACGAAGTTTAAAACAACAGCTGTTTCTGAGGTGGACTTTGTTCTTTGAGTAATGGTGCATAGCCTTTGTGCGTATTTCCTGTCTTGGCTCTAGACAGTTCTGCGAGCTGCACCAGGCTTTAGGTTCAAAGGCTGTTGGCCAGACCCTACCATGGCCTTGGAAAAAAACCCAACCAATGAAAGAAACAATATGTTACTCCTAGGACTGCTTTCCAGGTCCTTTCAGGTTCCTCCGGAGGACCGTCTACAGCTCTCTTCAGATGGTGACCTTGGCTTCTTGGGACACTTTACCAAGAAAGACACTAAATGTGGTTAGGCCAGCTGCAAGGTGATTGCTTCCATGGCATTTTAGTTTACAAAGACGTCTTCACATATGTTGCCCATTAGTCCCGCAGCCACACCAAGGAGGAGCATCACTACCCCGAGCCCATCTTACAGATAAGATAATGGGGGTCACGGGAGGCTAAGAGACTTTTCGGGACCACACAGCTAATACTGGGTGGGGTTCGTCCTAAATGCAAATCTTTTTTTTTTTTGAGACAGAGTCTCACTTTGTTGCCCAGGCTAGAGTGAGTGCCATGGCATCAGCCTAGCTCACAGCAACCTCAAACTCCTGGGCTCAGGCGATCCTCCTGTCTCAGCCTCCCAAGTAGCTGGGACGACAGGCATGTGCCACCATGCCCGGCTAATTTTTTGTATATATATTTTTAGTTGTCCAATTAATTTCTTTCCATTTTTAGTAGAGATGGGGTCTTGCTCAGGCTGGTTTTGAACTCCTGACCTTGAGCAATCTGCCCGCCTCTGCCTCCCAGAGTGCTAGGATTACAGGCGTGAGCCACAGCGCCAGGCCTAAATGCAAATCTTTTAACTCCAACTTGTCTATACTGCCTCTACACTTTGCTGAATTTGTGTCACCCGCTGCACTGCATAATGACCTCAATGGGTCTAGGTAGGAAACTTTTCTAGAAGGTTTGCCATACAAAAAAGAAGTGCGAACTTTTACCAATAACTCTCCAGATAATAGTCTTTGTCTTACCGCCTAATCCTTTAGGAACACGCATACCCACAGGGCAACTTTGCTCATTTGGGTCTCCCTCACTACCATTCCTATTTTCCTTTAACATTCAAATATTTACTGATACCCACTCTATGCTGGCCAGGCCTGGAATTCTGAGGTACCTCAGTAATTGCCCTCCCCTTGGAGGCTTCACAACCATCTGGCAGAATCAGATGTACTAAATCTATAATTTTCGATCAAGTGCTGAGTGCTCGCTACACCAAGATACATGCAAGGTGCTCGGGTTACACAATCCTCCCACTGAGTCAGAAGGGTTTGCTAAAGGAGATGACATTTGAGCAGGGCCTTAAAGAGTAGGATTGTGACAGATTGGGAAGGTGGAGAACTCTTTAAGGAGTCAAGTTGCATAAAACACACCTCTCAAATGCCCATCTTGTGTGTGGCCAGGGACCTACCCTGTGCTTACTATTCCTGAAGATCGGTTACTTACCGTTCCCCAATTCCTCCCACATACACATACCCTAAAACTGCCAGAAAGATCTTTCGGATCATCACATTCTAGTACAGATAAAAGACATGCGTTTCAAACTAGTCAAGGCCGAATGGCCCCCAGCTCTATCAAACAGGGCCCATAATTGGCTGGTCACAACAAATTCCCAAGCAAGTATGTATTTGCTTTGGAATGAAACACCTTCCAGACTTGTTTGTATGTGGCTTGGACTAACAAGGATCTATGCACCCTAATACTTAGCTCGATCTAAGGTACCCCCAGCAGGAAGGGCACCCTCTTCAAGAACGACAGCAAGCATGACACAAGAGTCTTGCAAAGTGAGTGTCCACAAGATCATGGAAATCATTCTTACATTTTAAGACTCCAAAAGTCCATGTTGTAGTAGGCACTTTTGCCTTAGAGAAATATCATAAATAATCCCTCCAGTTTTGAATCACCCTCACTTTCTGAAAGCATTTAGTAAGTGCTTTTAGAAATTTTAAAAAATGGATTCTGAACTAAGAAAAGTTGAATTGGCTCCAAATTTATTAGAAAAAAAATCAGTGTCAAGGAAAAACAAAACATAAGTACATGATGTTATCTGGACATGAGATAAATGGTGACTACAAGGAAGTTAGCAGCCTCAACAAGGCTGACCTTGTACTGGCCACAGATCTGAAAAGTTGATGTGTGATGGTGAAGAGACCAAGAGAATCATGATGTTTCCAGAATCACCTCTAGTGCGGTGTGCATGAAATAATTCATGTGAACGAAGACCCACCATTTCTGAAGTCTCTTAATATACAAACACTTACTACAGAAAAATTAGAAAATGCAAACAAATAAAAGCAGCAGAGGCGGGAATCACCCATATTGGCACATCCTGGGGACAACACTATTAACACTTAGGTGAACATACTTCCAGACTGTTTTATATCAAGAACAATCCTACATAAATTTGTTTTTCCCCACAAAAATCATACCAAACTTTACATACTATTTGGAACCCTGGGTTTCTTCATTTGTTATCTAGAAACAATCTTTCCATGTCAAGAAATCTTTTTGACTTCTACCTCAATATTTGTGATGGCTGCAGAGACCATTTCTTCTGAGGACGTACCAAAATTTAACCATTCCACTATCACTAGCATTAATGTTATTTCCAGTTTTTTGCTATTAGAACTGGGCTGCAATGAGCTTCCTTTTCCTAAACACTACATCCTGGACCATGTATAACATCTGGCATTCAAGGGGACATTTCCCTGTCGATGTTCCAAGGCTTCACTGCTAGAGGGTACCCCTTCCTCAATCTCTAGGGGTCAGAGGAACCCCAGAGTAACCCAGCTTGGATGGACTCTATGTCCTGACTCTTGGTTTATTGAGGACATTACAAAAGTCACTATAAAAAGGAAGAGAGCTAAGCTAAATCCCAGAACTTTTCCAAAAGCTGTCTGTCATAAAGTTGCAAAGTAAAGATTTTTCATTATTTATTAGCACCACATCTGTGGACCCATTTGCCTTTAGGCTTCCTGTCTGGCAGAATCTAGGTTTGCTATGGGAAAGGATGAAACGGAATCTTGTAAAAGAAGGAAGATCTTTTAATAACTGAAATGAAACCTGTCAAGAAAAGTCAGACCCAGGACTCAGTTGAAAACCATTACTTATTTCTACTATATTGTTATTTTACATTCTCCCAGACTTTTTTTTTTTTAACTCTCTTAAAATATAGATTACTAAGACAGTCAATTTAAATCATTTTCTTAGAGCAGTTATTGTCAGTGCCTATGTCTAAAATTTATTTATTTATTTATGAGACAGGGTCTCACTTTGTTGCCCAGGCTAGAGTGAGTGCAGTGGCATCAGCCTAGCTCACAGCAACCTCAAACTCCTGGGCTTAAGCAATCCTACTGCCTCAGCCTTCCAAGTAGCTGGGACTACAGGCATGCGCCACCATGCCCAGCTAATTTTTTCTATATATATTGGTTGGCCAATTAATTTCTTTCTATTTATAGTAAGGACAGGGTCTCACTCTTGCTCAGGCTGATTTCGAACTCCTGACCTCAAGCAATCCGCCTGCCTCAGCCTCCCAGAGTGCTAGGATTACAGGCGTGAGCCACTGTGCCTGGCCTGTGTCTAAAATTAAAAAATATATATCCTGAATATTTGGGGGTGAGAATTCTGGGTTTTTTTCTTCTTTTTTTGAGACAGAGTCTGGCTCTGTTGCCTGGGCTAGAGTGCTGTGGCATCAGCCTAGCTCATAGCAACCTCAAACTCCTAGGCTCAAGCAATCCTTCTGCCTCAGCCTCCCAAGTAGCCGGGACTACAGGAATGCACCACCATGCCTGGCTAATTTTTTCTATATATTTTTAGTTGTCCAGCTAATTTCTTTCTATTTTTTTTAGTAGAAACGGGTCTTGCTCTTGCTCCGGCTGGTCTCGAACTCCTGACCTCGAGTGATCCACCTGCCTCGGCCTCCCAGAGTGCTAGGATTACAGGTGTGAGCCACTGCACCTGGCCAAGAATTCTGTTTTTATGTTTCCATCCCACTCCAGAAAAAAAATTACAACATGTAATTAAGCATTTGCATACATTGAAGTAAGTTAAAAGAACCAAGTCTTTTTTTCCTCCAAATAGTTGGAAGAGATATCAAGTAGAATCCTAAAGGCTTTAATTCACGTATTAAAATCCTGCTGCAAACAGACTCTCAGCTTGGATTCTGCAAGAGCTACATCACTTAGCCCGAGCAGCTCCCACGGAATCTGGAATGCACTTGTTAGCCAGCAGACCCTCGTTCTGGGATTATCCCATAATTCCGAAGACACTCTAAGAGGACCAAGCTCCACAGTAGCACAATTGCTGGGGAATCCAGACTGAGGAGTAATTTCAAACACAGTTCTTCTGTGAAAGATGCCTTTTGGGGACCTTTCCAAGATTCAATTTTATACTCAATTGATATTTAGTTCTCCAGGTAAATTGAAATAAACAATTCTACTGAAATCAGTCTGACAAAAAGTTTGTGTGGAGATGAGTTTTAACGCCCTTTAAAAATCTTAAAAGCTCTAGTAAGTCTACTATGAACTGCCAGAATGAGCATGCTGAGGCAAGACCTTATTGGTGGATGCCGAGACAGACATTAAAACAATTATATCATGATTAAATAAGTTTTTATTGTCACATTTAACTGCTTTGTCAGATATACATTGTAGATTCCAGTATGGCATAAAAAAAATATTTTCCTGAATGTGAAAATCTGAACAGAAGAGATGGCAATGGCACGTCAAAAAAAAATTAAATTCACACTAATGCTGCAGCTGCTTAGTAGGTAGCTGATAAAAAATGGAACACATTTGCAGACAAAGTGGTCTGCAACATTTTAAACCAAATGGCAGTGGTATAAGGTCAACAAAACCAGGACAGTAAAACAACACAGACCCCCGTAGAGTGAATGGCAGTTTTAGCATTTCATTTTTCAGTCCATATTATATTGTCTAATTTAGTATTGGAACTGGAGCTCAGTGAATAAATGTCTATCCTATAAAATTACTTTTTCAGAATCTGGATTTTAAGCTGCTCTAACAACTTCTTATTCTAACAGGCTTTAACTAATCCAAAGGAAAGGCAGTTAAACAATAAGTATTAAGTTCATCAGCTGACTTCGTCACAAAATGGTAGGTCTTGTCACTTCCAAACCAGGAGCCCACCATGCTCCTGAATGTCTCAGTGGTTTCACATGTTCTGGGCAAAACTAGAAAACAAGCAGTAATTAAATAAAAACATAAGTGCATCCCAAGAGAGTCTCTACACATTCTATAATTATTCCCCAAATGGCAACTTAAAAAAAAAATAAGTATAGTTATTCAGATTTAAAACAAATCTTTATTCATCAAAATTCCCAAATAGTTTATTAAATGTCTTTCCTCCACAAATAAAACTAACACTAGGATTTGTCAGAAGATCTAAATGAGTTATATCCCTTACATATGAACTCAGCTAAACCCACCATGTCTGGAATCTGTTTATCATAAAACTCAGGTCTGGTACATAACTCCTTTCTGTTACGCACTGCTATGTGTCCTTTAAGACTCCAGAATAGAGACCATAAACGTGCTAGTGCAACACAGTAGTCACTGTAATCCACCAAGAGAAAAATAATTAATTTATTTTATGACATACTTATTTGGATGATTACTTACTGGTAATTAGTATTTCTACATTTTTTTTTTAAAGGCAACCATTTTAAGTGACAATACATTATCAGGCTAGTAGAAAAAGGTTGAAACAAAGCCCTCTCTTTAGATGTCACAAAGTCATGCAGACAAGAGAAGGAATATCCAAGTTATTCCAATCAGGCTTCTTGGAATTATCAAAATTTCTTTTCTGGCAAAGATGAATTTGGCTCATCATAGAAAGAAGTTCTTTGAAGGCTGCTGCTAAACTCATTTCCCTTTGAAAAAGTAAATTTCAAGGCATGATAGTGCAAGAGGTAAGTTTTTGATTTATAGAACATTTATAGACTAATTGTGCTTAGTCTCTAATTTTCAATTTATTTTAAAGAACAGAAACTACGCTGATAAGTTTCACTTTGCCTAAATTTACCAGAACATCCATGAATCGCACCAGAATTAGGACAATTTGATTATCTTAATGATTTTGTCATGAAACCTGCACAGTGCATCCGAAGAAGACCAGCGGATGGAGCCCCCCACAAGCTCTGTGCACAAGGACTCTCTTCGTGGGAGTCAGGGTATCTGAGAAAACAGTTCTCCCCCAAGGTTAAGTCCTCAAATCACTCTCTCAATAAGCAATTAAGGAAAACAGTGCTAAGTGGAGAGCTTCTTTTGTTTAGTTAAATCTGGGAGGTTTGAGTGTTCCTGGGGTCCTCCTCGGAAAGTGTCACGGGTCGAGAGTCCTTTGAATGTGAGTATTCGCTATTAGAGGGCTCCGTAGGGTCAATCAAATTTTCGTAATCACTGTCACCTGATTCTTCACCACTGTCTCCGGCTGCTCTTTGGGAAGGAGGAAGGTCTGCCCTACTTCCAGGGTACTTCAGTCCAGCACTCGTGGACGCATAGTTGGAAGAGCCCACAGCTTGGGGTCGAGGCAGAAACACACTCCTTTCCATTCGAGAATGGCTCAAAGTACTTTCTTGATTGTTTGGGTGAAAATCAGAATAAGGTGGAGGAGGATCAGAGGCCTCTGTGTCTCCGAGTGGACTTCTACCTTCAGCTGCAAACCCAGAATAGGGCATCCGAGGACTGAACACTGGTTCCAAACTTTCAGATGGCATTTGTCTGCTCAACATTGCCTGCTGCAATCCTGGGTGAAAGCAGGAAGAATATTTTAACACTTTCTACATTTTCACAACTTTTCATCTCAATGCATTACATTGTCAACCTGAATGTTCTGGAAAATAGCAACAAGGTAGTGAAATTGACTGTTACTATTATTTTACAATACATAGTACTTCATAATTTAAACAAATATTTCCCTGGACATTAATCCATTTAAGCACCATAACAACTTTCTGAAGTGTTATTATCACCATTATTAATATTATTGTCTCCATCATATAGGTAAACAAGTAGAGTTCAGAAAGGTGAAGGGATCTGGCTAGGGAACAGCTAGAAGTGGGCCCTCATACTCAGAATGCAGGTCTTGTCACGCTAATCCTGTGCTATTTCCCTTTCCTGCGGCTCACTGAGTTCAAAGACTCTGGGGCTGGAAGGACGAAACTGAAACAATCCTTACCACCCTTTCTTTAAAGGTCATGGGAATGTGAGGTTTTCCTTGAAAGCCTCACATCAAAAACATATTCTCTTTGGAAGGAAGGCTGAGGTGGGAGAATCGCTTGAGCCCAGGAGTTCGAGACCAGCTTGAGCAATGTAGTGAGACTCCATCTCTACAAAAAATTTAAAAATTAGCTGGGCATGGTGGCACATGCCTGTAGTCCCAGCTACTCGAGAGGCTAAGGTGGGATAATCCCTAGAATCAAAGAGTTTGCCGTTGCAGCAGGCTATGATGACAGCACAGCATTCTAGCCCAGGCAACAAAGACCCTGTTTCAAAAAAGAAAACAAAAAACCACAAAAACATATTTATAGCTACCTGTCATAATACACTTATCCCCAAAGTCCTAAAAAATAAAATAAAATAAATAAATAAATGAATAAAAGTTTAAAAGCCCTATGTTAAGTAGCTGGTTTTCCAGGAACTAGACCACAATTTTACATTTTTATGAATGCTCAGAAATAGCCCACATATATCAGTTTATATAATCTTAAATATTTCTTAAGTAATATTTTTGTCTATTATAAGGCAGAAGAATTGGTTAAGGTCAGGAGTTTGAGACCAGCCTGAGCAAGAACAATACCCCATCTCTACTAAAGATAGAAAAACTTAGCCAGGCATGGTGGCACAAGTCTGTAGTCCCAGTTACTTAGTAGGCTGAGGCAGGAGGATCACTTGAGCCCAGGAGTTTGAGGCTGCAGTGAGCTATGATGACATCACTGCACTCTAGCCTGGGTAACAGAGTGAGACCCTGTCTCAAAAAAAAAAGAAAAGAAAAGAAAAGGATACACATTCATGCAAATTTAGAAAATTTGGAAAAGAACAAAAAAAATAAAAAGTGCCCACAATTCTATCATCCAGATGACACTGTTAGGATTTTGGTGAAAAGAGCATAGGATTTTGAGTCAAAAGACCTTAATTTTAACTATCAGGCCCCTACTTCCTGTCAAGTCATTAATCCTTGCTGAACTCCAGTTTTTTTTTTTTTTTTTTGAGACAGAGTCTCGCTTTCTGCCTAGGCTAGCAGTGAGTGCCGTGGCATCAAGCCTAGCTCACAGCAACCTCAAACTCCTGGGCTCAAGTGATCCTCCTGCCTCAGCCTCCAAAGTGGGACTACAGGCACGACCCACCATGCCCGGCTGATTTTTATATTATATATATTAGTTGGCCAATTAATTTCTTTCTATTTTATGTAGAGACGGGGTCTCCGCTCAGCGCTGGTTTTGAACTCCTGACCTTGAGCAATCCGCCCGCCTCGGCCTCCCAGAGTGCTAGGATTACAGGCGTGAGCCACCGCGCCCGGCCTGAACTCCAGTTTTATTATTCAGCTTTGTGTGTGTGTATATTTTAAACACAGGTGACATTACCGTGTTTATACTGTTTCATATTCCTAATTTTTTTTTTTTGAGACACATTCTCACTCTGTTGCCTGGGCTAGAGTGCCGTGGCATCAACCTAGCTCACAGCAACCTCAAACTCCTGGGCTCAAGCAATACGTCTGACCTCAGCCTGCCGAGTAGCTGGGACTACAGGCATGTGCCACCATGCCCGGCTAATTTTTTCTATATATATTTTAGATGGCCAATTCATTTTCTTTCTATTTTTATAGTAGAGACGGGTCTCGCTCTTGCTCAGGCTGGTTTCAAACTCCTGACCTTGAGCTATCCTCCCGCCTTGGCCTCCCAGAGTGCTAGGATTATAGGCATGAGACACCTCACCTGGCCAATATTCCTAATTTTTTCACAAGGTTATATATTGAGCATTAACTCAGAATACTAAAAATGGCTGTATAATATTCCATCATATTTATATACCATACTTTTTTTTTGGAGACAGTCTCCACTCGTCACCCAGGCTGGAGTGAAGTGTGCAATCACAAGCTCACTGCAACCTCCAACTCTGGGGCTCAAGTGCATGCACCACACCCAACTAATTTTTTAAAAAAATGTTTTTGTGGAGACAGGTCTCGTTATGTTGCCCAGGCTGGTCTTAGCTCTTGGCTCAAGCTATCTCCCACTTTGGCCTCCCAAAGTGCTGGGATTACAGGTATGAGTCACTGCACTGGCCTGTACCATAATTTTTTATTCTTAACTGTAAATTGACAAATTATAGTTATATATATTTAACGTGTAATTTATTCAATTATTCTACTGTTGCTGATTGTGATTCTTAAAACCTTGTATTTCTGATTATTTTAAGAAAAATATAACAGTAAAAATAAATTGGACATCATTTACCTGGAAACATAAATTACATTTTAATTGGATCATATATATTCTCTTTTTTTTTTTTTTTTTGACACAGAGTCTCGCTTTGTTGCCCAGGCTAGAGTGAGTGCCGTGGCGTCAGCCTGACTCACAGCAACCTCAAACTCCTGGGCTCAAAGCAATCCTCCTGCTTCAGCCTCCCAGTAGCTGGGACTACAGGCATCGCGCCACCTGCCGGCTAATTTTATATATATATATTAGTTGGCCAATTAATTTCCTTCTATTTATAGTAGAGACAGGGTCTCACTCTTTGCTCAGGCTGGTTTCGAACTCCTGACCTTGAGCAATCCGCCCGCCTCAGCCTCCCAGAGTGCTAGGATTACAGGCGTGAGCCACTGCGCCTGGCCTTCATATATATTCTTATTAAGCTAGAAAAGTTTGGCTACAACTTTATCTCTTTTACACTTGATATTACTTGCCATACGTTTTATAAATTTTACACATAGATGTTAATCCTGGTGGTGTTACAGCAAATGTGTCTGTCACCATGCTGGAATTATTAGATTCTTGGGCCTAATTCTCATTCACCCAGCTCATTTCTTTGCTTATTGGTATCCATTCATCCACAGCTACCATAACCAGACATTTAAAGCCTTTACCATGACCCTGATTATGAATCAAACATAAAGTTAACAGAATTTTAGGTAGCTCCTTTATGTGGCTAGAATGAACACAGGACCCAGCCCCTACCTGCTAGCCATGCCAGAGTTAACTTATTAATAACCATCATACTCACTGTAAACAGACCCCTCTGGTCAATATACACAGAAATTTGTACCAATCACTTCTTGGGGTTTATTCTAACTTCCACTGCAGCTTGCCTATCTTTGGGCTTCTTTTTCTTTGTGTTTAAGAGACTTGAGGGGGATACCATGAAAAATAACATTTCCCTTCTGGACAAGCTTCCCAAGAGAATTTCCTCCCCCAACCAGGTTAACTTGGGGCTTGATGAGTATAGAAGGACTCATGTCATTTATTGTATAATCTGATGTTTAAAATGACATTTCCCTGATACTGAATGGTAAATTTAATAAGAAACTTACTTCTTTCTTGTTCCTTTTCATTTTTCCTCTGAGTGATTTGTCTTCTTAATTTGTTCACTTCTGCCTGACAAGATTCAACAACTCGCTCACTCTTTTCAACATCTGCACACACTGCCTAAGGGGAAAAATGACAATGAGACAGGTTAGCTTCAAATTCAAGCACAAGGCACTCCATAAATTCAGCACTGATTACAACCCTAGGAAAGTCCAGATTTTTAGTTAAAAAGCAGACATACAAGGTAGAACAAAATCATAAAAACCCTGAAGATCAGTATTGTTGTTATTCACCAGTTTACTTTCTTAATTTTAAGACTATTATGCTATTTAGCTTATAAATTCTTGAAAAATAAGGGTAAGATGGGAAAGATTTAATCTTTTCCCTTGATTAATCATTTTTATTGAAATGAAAGGGAATTTTTGGTACCAGTTTAGCTTACAAAGGAAGAACAAAAGATAAGACAAGAATGAGATGCTTTCAACTTTTATTTATTACCAACAATCGAAAATCAGATAAGACAGATTTATTTAACAGAAAATATTTATAATGAGGGAAAGTTGAAAAAAATTAGTTTCTAAGTCAAGGTTTAATAAAAGATAACTATTTGAGAATACATCTACGTAATGTAGCCATTTATAATCAGAGTACTCTATGTGACATTGGTGTTTTCAGAATAGGCCTTATGCAATCAACAATGAAATATAACAGCCACTTTGAAGTCCCTTGGCCAGTGCTGATAGTCTGAAAAGGGCATGGTCATGAATTTAGGACAAAAAGCTGTTTTTCACTGCCCGTTCTTTCCATAGCAGAAATACCAGAAACTTCCAGAAAAGAGGCCAGTCACCAGTGAGCCTGTATGAAGTTCCCTACACTACTAGGTGTACAGTGACCCTAATTTGGAACACTGACACCTCATGTGCTTTCTCCTTTTGCTCCAGGGGGAATTCAGTCTGCTTTCCTCCTTCTATTCGTTGGCACCTTCTTCCTTAAAGCCAGGTCTTCTCCAGCCTGGAAGAGCTTCTTAACTTTACCACTTTCCTTCTTACCCTCAAAGGCAAGTTCAAGGGCTCTTTTATTCTTAGGGTTTTAGAGCAAAGTACTCCTAACAACACATCAGGGATGATGAGAAGACATGGGGAAGTACTGTTAGCACCTAGCTCAGTATCTGGCTTATAGGAGACATTTCCATAAATGTTAGTTGCATGAATGACTAAGAATGAACAGGCTTTGCTGGATCCTCCCAGTGAAAAGAGGCAGCTGGGGGCAAAGTGAGTGAACTAGAACAAAGGAAGCAGAGCTGCAACAAATTATGGGTATCTTTTCATGTGGTCTGTACTTAGAATATAACTGATGGGGACAGCTGTGTTCTTAGCAACCCTTCTTTAAACGTGTAATACATTTTTCTAGAAAAAATACTATTACAAATGGGGCCACAAGTATTTAAAACAATAGTATTAATAATGTACTTCAGAGTCTCTATATTAGGCACAGAATGAGTGAGGCTGGCTTTTGTCGGCTGGCACGAGTAACTACTCCAGAGAGCTGATACTATTTTGGGGAAGCACATTCTGACTTTTGGACTTTAATTCATTTGTCAGTTGGAAGATAATTAAAAATTAATGTAGAATTAAAAGCATTTGGGCAATACAAATAAGATGAAAATCAGTAAATAAGTCAATTACCTGCACTTTCTCCTGAAGTGCGTTGTAAACCTGATATATTGCCCTGATGTCTTTCATTACTCCGTCCTTGTCAAAAAAGTCAGTACTTTAAGACAGAAAAAAAGGTTACAAAGTTACTACATCTGCTGGGAACCTGAAGGCATTTTTCCTGTCACTTTTACTTTAATATATTACTTAAATGTTGTGACTCCAAGATGATAATGTTTAAGCAATAATGCCTATACTACTAGAATGAAAGAGAAATAAAAAAGAACCCACATTACTAAGAAAAATTTAAAATATAATAAAGCTATATATTTTTAGTGACTATGTTTAGCTTTTAAAACCTCAGATATACATACTCTATCCAAACTTTTGTATTAATTACAAAACTGTGGTAAATGATAAAAAAAATTGATAAAAAGAAATTATCTTTTCAATAAGAATAAAATTTGGATATATGCTGTTGGTGTATAGAGAATTACTTTACTGAGTTCTTCAATTTCAATCATTTCAAACTTGATTTTACATTTGTTCATACACCTTTCAAATATTATTAACAAAGGAAATGCTGCTGACAGAAGGGAAAAACTCTCATTTTACCTTTCTACTTACCCATGCTCTTTAATAACTTTGGCATAGCTCTGAGAAGTATTTGGCACTGAAGACACTTTGTACTCCTGCTGGCTAGTATTGCCCAGATTGGGGATAGCAAGTGATATCCTTTGATTATACCTACAGAGAAAATTGAGAAAGAGATCATGTTAAAAGTACTGTTCTACCCTAAGAATGGGGCCTGGTAGTAAGAGTCTTAGTCTCTGACATTGGTAAACTAACAGAGGACCTCACAGAGCATCTGCTTTTTCAGACAACCCAAGGATGCATGAATTAGCAATTTTGCCCTTCCCTTAAGGAGGAACGTTGATTGTAAAGTCCTTGAAAGCACAGGTCATGTCTTATACGTTGTTCACACCCCCACAGCGAATGACACAGTGCTGAGCATGTTCTAAGTGTTCAAGAAATACTTACAGATTAATTAATGAAATCTTGCAAATGGCTGTTTAACAGTTAATAATTATTTTCACTGATGTTGATTTAATTTATTCTACAGTAAATAAATTTCAAGAGGGAAACCTTTCTGCTATTTACAGACAGGATCACATAATCATACAGATTTTTTGCTTTAACAAGTTCACAATGCAAAACCTTCATTAACCAGCAGGTGGATCAATTTTACAATTTTGTCTTTGCAATCTACGTTTTAAAATTACAATCAGACTTCTGTAGCAATAAAACTGCATTTCTCCATAATAGATTATAGAGAAACAAATGATGATTTCTAGCTATGTATTCCTATAAGAATTTATGCATAATAAACATGTCTTGCTAATGCTTCTCGATCCAAAAACAGTTTTAATTTATATAAATAACTGACAAGGAAAATACCTTCTCTAACTACAAAGATAACCAGCTAAAGAGAATTACCAAAGCTTTTCTTTAAAGATGCTATAAAATGCACTATAACGTACATTTTCAAAGTCATGAATCTCAATTACTTGTACCAACATCTTTTCGTTTTGTGAGGCTGGTGCGAAAGCTTTCTTTACCTTCGATTTGGTCTAAAGAGGACGTATTCTAAAGCATGAGTGGAATTGTTGGCGGTGGAGATGAAGCTGAAGAGAAGGAAGACGAGGTCGGGCACACCGAGGATGCGGGTGAGCTGCTTGTGGAGGACCTGCTCTCTGTATGACATCTGCTGCTGCGTGTTGCGCCGGAATCTGTACCACCCAATAACTTTCTGCGTCAAAAACAGAAAAAATAGTATTTGAAGTTGCATGAAATCTTACAAACTTAATTCTAAATGTATCCATAGAAACACAAATGTTCACAAATGTACACAAATGTTCATAGCAGCTTTACGTGCAATAGCCCCAAACTGAAAACAACCCAATTGTCCATCAGCAGGCAAATGGATAAACAAACTGTGGTAGATCCATACATTGGAATCCTACCTGGTAATAAAAAGGAACAAACTACTGATATATACTACATGGAAGAAGCCCAAAATAATTAAGCTGAGTGAAAGAAGTCAGATTAAAAAAAAAAAGTTTATGTTATAGGATTCTATTTATATAAAATCTTAGAAAATGAAAACTAATCTGTAGTGACACAAAGCAGATCAGTGGTTGACTGGAATGGGGATGGGGAAGGGTGAGAAGGTGAGATTAGAAAAGGGCGTAAGGAGGGAGGAGGAAGGGGGGGCAGGGGCAATATTTATAACCCTAACAATATTTGTACCTCCATAATATGATGAAATAAAAGGAAAAAAGAAAAAGAAAAAAAAAAGATTAGAGCAGAAATAAAAAGAATAGAAAAATAGAAAAAATTCAACAAAACTATGAGCTGGATTTTTTAAAAGAAAATTTACAAAACTAGCTAAGAAAGAGGACTCAAATGGAATCAGAAATAAAAGAAGAGGCATCACAATACTGTATTGTGCATTTAAAAATTTTAAGAGGGTAGGTCTCATGTTATGTGTTTTTCCCACAATAAAGGGGGGAGCATGAAGAAATTTTTGGAGATGATGTATATATTTATTACCTTGATTGTGATGATGGTTTCATGGGTGTATGCATATGTCCATATTCATCAAATAGTATATATTAAATATTTTCAGTTTTGTGTATCAATTAAACCTCAATAAATATGTTTAAAAAAAAAAAAAAGAAAGGGCATAAGGAAACTTACCCAGGCGATAGATATGCTCATTGCCTTACTATGGTGACAGTTTCATAAGTACATACATATATCAAACTTATCAAAGTGTACACTCTAAATATGTGCAGTTTATAATATGTCAATTCTACCTCAATACTCTATTTTTAAAGTTTAGCTTTTGCTGCACACAGTGGTTCACACCTGTAATCCCAGTACTTTCAGAGGTTGAAGTAGGAAGATCGCTTGAGCCCAGAAGTTGGAGATCAGCCTGGGCAACATACTGAGACCCTCTCTCTATAAAAACTTATTAATTAAAAAAAAAATTAGCCAGGCATGGTTGAGTGTGCCTTTAGTCCTAACTACTTGGGAGATGAGGCAAGAGGATCGCTTGAGCCCAGGAGTTTGGGGCTGTAGTGAGCTATGATCATGCACCTTAGCCCGAGTGACAGAGACCCTGTCTCCAAAAAAAAAAAACAAAAAAAACAAAAAAATAAGTTTAGCTTTGTCAGCTTGAGCTATACCCTAAATAAACTGGCTAAAGTAAATTAAACGGATATGCTTTCTGGAAGAAAACTTCTCATAATGATTTGCTGGACATCTGGAAGACAGATGGTGTAAGAGAAATCTGGAAGTCTGCTAAAATGCAGATTCTTGGGCCTCACCCAAATCTACAGAATCAGAACCTCTAAGGGTAGAGTTAGGAATATGAATTTAGGGTAAGTTTCTGACTTTTTCCTTTTGCATACTGAAATTTAAAAACTTCTGTTATAGAAACAATTCTTTTTAAGACAGGGTCTTACTGTGTTGTCCAGGCTAGGATGCAGTGGTGTCATCATAGCTCACTGCAACCTCAAACTCCTGGGCTCACGCAATCCTCCTGCCTCAGCATCTGGAGTAGCTAGGACAACAGGTGTTCATGTATTAAAAAATTATTTTGTAGAGACAGGGTCTTGCCATGTTTCTCAGGCTGGTCTCCAACTCTTGGCTGCAAGCGGTCCTCCCATCTCAGCCTTCCAAAATGCTGGGATTACAGGAGTAATGGATTACACCATGCCTGGCCATAATTTAATTCTTTATTAGAAGAACAATCTTTGTATAGCTTCTTTCTTGAAACAAACCCTTTGAGTAAAAATCCTGTTTTATGAAGTAAAGGTAGTTTAAAGCTGTTAGTGTCATATTAAAATCAACAGTAAATTTAGATTATGTTTTGGCACTCTAGCCCAGGTGACAGAGCAAGACTCTGTCTCCAAAAAAAAAAAAAAAGTTAAAAGTAGTTTTCCCTTAAAAAAAAAGTAGACAGAAAAACTGTCAGTTGGCTAGAGCTATCAATGTATGTGAATATCGCACATTTCAGTCTAAGACTCAATACTCCATACTAAACATAGGCATTACCTCCTCTGTAGGACTGGGGCATGTCTCACACTTCCTCTGCCTCCCTGCAAAGCCTGAACAGTGCTAGCACATTGGCTGTTTTCATAAAATACTCATTGACTAACAGAATCTTGCAATAGCTATTGGATAAATAATAGTGCTTTTCAGTTATGCCAATTCCAACTGTTTCATTCCATTTGTAATTTATTTTCTAGCTGCCTTTTAAAAAGAAACTCCATTTGTATTTTCTGAGAAGTAGGAGCCTTAATTTATATTTAATATCAACTGATAGTAATCAATTTATTTATTGTTTTGATATTTGCCCATAGTTCTAAATGGATTCTCCTCATTCCGATCAATGAAGGATGAGATGCCAAATTAATTTGCATTGGTAATATCTTTGATTCTGCCTTTTAGAGTGAACAAACAAGCTAGCTGCAAGGCTACTGAGTAACTATGTCACTGATGTTCAAAAGCACATTTTGAATAGCTATATTAGGGTTGGGATGAAGAATTATGGATGTCTTTCCCTAAAATCTTATCTCTGTTGAAGTCTTACAGCCAATTTCTCACATAGAGTTTCTATTTTATTTTCTATGCTAGACATTCACTTTCATTGTCTGAAGCCAAAGCAATCACCCCAAAACTGAGCACATTTATCTTTAGCCTACGTTCTTTTTGGCCTTATGATACTAGGACAGCTGATACAGTTATCTTTATCTATTTCAGAGCTTCTGGAAGACACAAATTCTCCTTACTCGCTTTGTTTGGCCTTTGCCTAAAACCTAAGGCCTGTGCAAACTTTGTAAGCACATATGGATTCTGCCAGAACAGTAATTTAGCCCAATGACCATGCTGCATCTACTGGGGGATTTTCATACCAAAAACATTAGCCTCTATCTTAAGCCTAACCTTTTTTTTTTTTGGAGATAGAGTCTCACTTTGTTGTGCAGGCTAGAGTGAGTGCGGTGGTATCAGCTTAGCTCACAGCAACCTCAATCTCCCGGGCTCAAGCGATCCTATTGCCTCAGCCTGCCGAGTAGCTGGGACTACAGGCATGCGCCACCATGCCCGGCTAATTTTTTGCATATATATTTTTAGTTGGTCAGTTAGTTTCTTTCTATTTTTAGTAGAGGTGGGGTCTCGCTCAGGCTGGTTTGGAACTTCTGACCTTGAGTGATCCACCTGCCTCGGCCTCCCAGAGTGCTAGGATTACAGGTGTGAGCCACCACCCCAGGCCTTAAGCCTAACATTTTAAATGTACCTTTTAGGTAGTATAACCACCCTTTTGAGGTACAGATATAATTTTGTACATTTCCTGCGGAAAAAAAATCCAAACTAGAATCAATTATAAAGAGCTTTTCTGTCATCTAAATATTATATATCATCTCTGCTTTTGTGCTGGAAATTTGGATTTTTGAAAAAAATCCTTACAGAGTTCATATTATGTATAAAGTATCACAGGAAATATTATGAAACATAAAACATAGTTTTTGCCCTCAACAAATATCATGGACAATGAAGCATGATTTCCAAGTAAAGTGCAGCAACAAACTTGTATCAAATGAAAGGAAAACACAAACATTTGTTTTAACACAAAGTTCTATAAAATCAAAACTGCAAATCAACTTTTAAGATTTCTGAGACTCTTAGCTCCAGTAAAAGCAAAGTCCACTGTAGATGACAACTTGTCTAGATCTACTGTGTCTCCAAACAGCAAATCCTAATCTAAAATATGAAAATAAGTTGGTGTCTGCAAGATGAGGCTGGATAGCTAAGAGATTCCAGGATGTATACTCTTGGGCAAATCACTGAAAATGAATGCAGGACCACGTGATGCCCTTCCCATTCGGGCAGGCAGCTTGGTTAGACTGCCAGTACTCAGCACCTCTAGCACTATCACACACAAAACCATTTCCCCTGTCTTCTGACCTACCCTTTCACAATTCCTATTCTTCCTCTTATCCTTACATGCTTTTCTTTCTTCCTTTGCGTGAAATATACCCATCAGTGGTACTGAGAAGGTCCTGTACATTAGAAAGGCTGTTGATTGGATCTAACTGCACTTACTCTTGACACCCTTAAACAAAGGCATTTTGGGCACCAGGACAGTAATACATTTAGCACCGACCCCCGTAGAGTGAATGGCAGTTTTAGCATTTCATTTTTCAGTCCATATTATATTGGTCTAATTTAGTATTGGAACTGGAGCTCAGTGAATAAATGTCTATCCATAAAATTACTTTTTCAGAATCTGGATTTTAAGCTGCTCTAACAACTTCTTATTCTAACAGGCTTTAAACTAATCCAAAGGAAAGGCAGTTAAACAATAAGTATTAAGTTCAATCAGCTGACTTCGTCACAAAATGGTAGGTCTTGTCACTTCCAAACCAGGAAGCCCACCATGCTCCTGAAGTGTCTCAGTGGTTTCACACGTTCTGGGCAAAACTAGAAAACAAGCAGTAATTTAAAAAAACATAAGTGCATCCCAAGAGAGTCTGCTACACATTCTATAATTATTCCCAAATGGCAACTTAAAAAAAAAATAAGTATAGTTATTCAGATTAAAACAAATCTTTATTCATCAAAATTCCCAAATAGTTTATTAAATGTCTTTCCTCCACAATAAAAACTAACACTAGGATTTGTCAGAAGACCTAAATGAGTTATATCCTTACATATGAACTCAGCTAAACCCACCATGTCTGG